CTGCTTATTTTTATACATATGAACTCATCTAGAATAAAATAGGTGTAGACATGAAATCTCAATCCAAGCAGTTTACGAAATCCTGAAATCAATTAGGTAGCCACAATGTTGAACATGACACCTATACTGCCTGCTCCCTTTGCTAAGCCTATCTAATCTCTTACCAAATTACCAACTCCATTCACTTTATTTTATTTCACTCATAATTTTTTTTTCTCCGTCCCTGTCCCCTTTGTCTCCCCCCTCAATTGCTCTGATTATTCGAACCCCTTCAGCTTACACATTATAAAAAAAAGTAAAAATGACAAAACCACGTCACAGTAGTCCATATTTTTATGATTTATTTTGGATTCTCTTGTACTGTCTCAATCGTGAGACCACAAAATGAAAAAGAAATCATTATCCATACGTAATGATTTTATTATTTTTCATGTTTTCCATAATGTTGGATTGGATTTTAACCTAAAAATTTTACTCTAAATTTGGTCTCTAATAGCATTTTCTAGTCCATGAATAATCCACACCATACAAGACGAGTTTAAATTACGTCGATGTCAATTTTAAGTATTTGCTAAGTTCTTATAACCTCTTTTGTTAGCAATTAAAATATGTTAGATTTCTTAATGAAAGTGAGATTGAATATACATTACTATTAAAAAAACAAAGTTTGATTGGAAAAGTGAGTTGGATAGTGAAAAACTTTGTGGTGCAAAAATGAAAAAGATTTAAGATTGTAAATGAATATATGGCACAAATGTAATGATTAAATTTGATGTGATAAAAAAATATCAATAATAATGAATGTAAATGAGTGATAGTTAAATATGTGAATTTATTGAAAAATGTGTAGTGATGATTTGTTTTTATTTTTTAATTTTATTATAATAAATTAGATAAAATGTGATTATCTTAAAAAACAAACATTTTATTCAATCAAAGTTTCATATAAAAAAAATTATTAGTGCTGGAGACAATTTCGACACGTGTCTTAAGTGTTTTTTATTTGAAAAGGCCAATAATAATAATATAAAAAAAAGAAACAAAAAAAGGGAAAATGCCGAAACTCCGCCTTTCACACATTTGAATTCTACTGCCTAACGCGTACGACCAGACAAGATTTCAAATACAAAACCATCGTTTTCCACGCATTTTCATCATCCTCCCCAACAACTACTTTTTTTCCCCTAAAAAAACCCCCCCTTTCTTCTTCTGGTTCTCATCCCCTTTATATACAGTCTGCCTCCTTCAAAATATCTAATTGTCAAGCAAAAAAGCCCATCAAAAAACATGAGCCCATTTTCAAATTCTACTAACTACAACAAAATCAGGGGCAAGAAATCACTATGCTGCGGAGGAATGAAGGGCTTTCGTCTAAAACCCAGACGATTTTATGTCTCCAGACTTCGGAGAAATTTCATGTTCTTTTTCAGGGTTGTGAGGAGATGGAGAAATTCTTACAAGAAAGCCCTGAGACGGCTCAGGGGAAAACTCGCCGGAAAAAGTAACGTCGTCGCCGGAAGGCAGGATGTTTGTGGGGATGGTCGGAAAGTGGGATTTGGGTATAACGGCGGTTCGTGTCATTCTTCGGGCGGACCAATGAGGACCATGGCCCACTCGAACTCGTTCTGCTCGGAAGCCATAGCCGATTGCTTGGAGTTCATCAAGAGGAACTCTGTTTCTGCAGAGGATGAGACAAGTTCTATTTTGATCAAGCAAGAATAGGGAATTTTTTTTAATTTTTCTTTTTCGTTTTTTGATTTGGGTGACAAATTAAGACAGATTTTTTGTGGTGTAAATACTAAATAGTAAGTTGAGATGTATAAAATCATGGCTTGTTTGTGTTCCTTCTTTTATCTTTACCTTTTCTTTTTTTTTTTGGATTA